ATAAAAGCCTGCTGGAATGTTGTCCATATATACCTCCTCCTGTAAATCACCATTGAGGAAGGCATTTTTGACATCAAGCTGGAACAAAGGCCATGAATAGGTGGCTGCTAGAGATAAAAGGATATGAACTGAACTCATTTTAGCTATTGGTGCAAAGGTTTCCAGATAATCAACACCATAGGTCTGAGTATACCCTTTTGCTACCAACCTTGCCTTGTACCTCTCTATCTTGCCATCAGCTCTATACTTCACTGTGAATACCCATCTACATCCGACTACCTCCTTGACTGGGAGGAGATAAACTATTTCCCAAGTTTGGTTTTTAACCAAAGCATCCATCTCATCTTGCATGGCTGTTTTCCACTCAGGTTTGGAGAGAGCCTCAATAACATTCCTGGGTATAGACAGAGAATCTCGGGAAGAAAGAAAAGCACGGTATGAGGGTGATAAGGCACTATAAGAAAGATGGTGTGAAATGCAATGGGCTGTACACTTTCTCTTCCCCTTACGAAGTGCAATGGGAAGATCAAGGTCAGTGGGATCAGCTGCAACAATGGTGTTAGGGACATGAACATTATCAGCAGGAAACATAACAGGCTCAGGCTCAAGAGGAATACCTAGAACTGTATCTGCCAAATCTAGAGTTTTAGAAGGACTGATAAAGAGTGATGTGGGTTGAGGATGCGTGGAGTCAACCATCATCTGTCGGCGCTGATATTTCTGTGAGGCTGCCCGTAGTGGCTCAGGTATTGAAACTGGAGGTGCAGGTGCTGGCTGAACTGATGAAAGCTCCAAAGAAACAGGAAGAGGAACAGATTGTGAGTTCTCCTCCCCAAAACTCTCCCCCTGAGGAGAACTACTCGAGAAGAAGGTGGATTCAAAGAAGGTAACATCCATTGTGACAAATCTTCTCCTTGACACTGGGTCATAATAGTTATACCCCTTTTGGTTCTGAGCATACCCAAGAAAAACACATTTCTTGGCCTTAGGATCCAATTTCTTGCGATATGATATGGCCCCCATACATCAATGTGAACAATATTAAAAGCAAAAGTACTTCTTTTATTACTTGGTTTAAAAGACTATCTACAATGCTTTCCTAATTGACAACTCTCACACTCCAAAGTAGATAACTGAAGAGACTCAAACAACTTTGGGAAAAGACATTTCAAAGAACTAAAAGAAAGGTGTCCCAAGCGATTGTGCCAGAGCATAATCTGGTTCACTGACTCAGACCCACTACTACTGCTGTTGCTAACAAGATGGCCTTGATGTCTCAGAATCTCATCCAGAAGGTAGACTCCATTCACCGCACGACCACTCCCAATCATGTTCTTTGACTCTAGATCCTGCAAAACACAATTATCAGGAAGAAAGGTCAAGAAACAATTCAAATTCTTTGTCAAAGAACTAACAAACAGTAGGTTGGTATGAAGTCTAGGGACATGTAAAACAGAAGACAGAGTTATATCATTGGTTACTTTAACTGTCCCTTTCCCAGCAATGGGAATATGTAAACCATCTGCTGTAGAGGCTCTGTCTCTACCAGAACACAACTGATAGGAACTAAAAAGGGTAGGGGCATTAGTCATGTGCTCAGATGCTCCTGAGTCTATACTTTAGGGAGGTCCCTCCTTACCTAAAGTGAATGCAAGATTTATAGTTGCATATGAACTACCTATATGTGCAAAGGAAGAAGTGTAGCTAGCTCCTGCATTTTGCTGTCCATCTGGAAGGCTAGTGCTAGCTAAATCTTTCTTACTCATAAGCTGTCCAAGCCTCTCCAATTCTGTCCTCACTGTTGCTACTGCAATGGATTTCCAATCCGTTTGGGAAAGAGGGACCGAAGAGTCTCCTGTACTGCTACATTTGCATTTCCCTTCTTGTTCCTTATCCGAGCAGGTATAAGATTTGGATAAAGCTTCCAGCAAGTGCCCCTGGTATGCTTAGGCTTCTTGCAATAATAACACCAAGTCCTTCTTATCTTCCCTTTTAGTCTTACTACTCCCCCTGTCTTCATTCGGCTTAGGTTTTGTTGTACCAACCATAGCCAACTGGTCAATCCCAGGCTGTCTCAACATTACATTCCTCCCACTCTCCTCTCCAAAGACAAAGGCATAGGCTTGAGAGAGTGTCACACCCTCCCTAAAAAGAATATGCTGCCTAGCAATGTCGAATTCAGGGTTCAACCCTGCCAAGAACTCAAAAACCCTATTCCTCTCTACCGGTCTATGATAGGTTGCTGCATCATTTACACTTTCTCATACCACAGTTTCTAAGTGATCTATTTCCTGCCATAGGGTTTTCAGCATGGAGAAATACACAGCAAGAGGTTTTTCTCCCTGTTTCATACTTATCACCTGATTCCTTAACTGATAGGCTCTAACTTCATTTTGTCTTTGAGAGTAGGTTTCAGTCACTCCATCCCAAATCTCTTTAGCAGTATTAGCCCATAGGAAACTTTTTGCAATATGAGGTAACATAGAATTACACAACCAGGACATTACCATGTAATTCTCTTGCACCCATTGGGAAGAGTCTATATCAGGTTTCTTCTCCTCCCTAGTGAGATAGCCTAATTTTCCACGGGCACCAATAGCCATCTTAGCTGATTGTGCCCACTCCAAATAATTTGTACCATCAAGTTTTACTGTAGTAATGATCCCAGACCCAAAAATATCATTACTACCTCCAACACCTAGTCTCACAGTATCGGTCGATTTCATCTCGGTATTCCAACTCTCCATTTTACTTCAAACAGTTCAACAGTAAGAAAAAATGGATCGGAAACCTTCCAAAAACAATTTAATATCACACACACACAGAAACAAACCCTTCCCGGAAGAAGAAAACCCTAGCTGGAGAGAAATTTCTCTCCTCCCTACGCCTCCCAACAGAGAGAAAAGTGAATCGATCACTCCAGGAGGCTCAGAAAAATCCAGAAACTAAACTACACTCTTCAGAAAATCAAAAGAAAGCTAACAATACCTGGCTGCCCAAGATCAGATAAAAAACAAAGAGTCCAACTTTTCTAGGACTCTTCCCCGTACTCCAGTTCTTCTTGATTTTGATGTCGAATAGTAGATCACCTTCTTGATGACTAGATCCCACTAAAAAATCCAAGAACTAGGCAATCTACAGCAGATCAATCAGCCCTTTATTACTTCATGCAGTCGACTGATCTAGGGCTGCATGAGAATGCTTCTAGAAACCCTAGCCGCTGCTCTGATACCAAGTAGAAAGCTTGCTGAATTAAAAAATATGAAATAAAAGGAGTTTCTTGAAGAAAGAAGGAAAAGAGAAGAAGAGAAGTTGAAAAGAAAGGAGAGCAATAATCTGGCCGCCCCCTTCACTTATTATTTATATTAAAAATAATATAGTAGTACAAAGATAATTATGCCCTTATAGGGCGGCAAGACATAAAACAGTATATATAAGACACAAAAACATAATAATATTTGGACTCACATAACTACTGTGGTCCCCGCCTCCTATCTAACAACTAACATAAAACATCTACTCATAAAAAAACATCATAAAACTGATTAATCTTCAACACTTACTATCAATTTATGGTTTCAAGGTTATTTTTTCTTTAATAAATAAAACTAATAATACATGTATATACTAAACCTTCTATAGGTATTTGACACTGACAAAATTCCCTATCTCTGTTACATGGTTGTACAATGTAAGTTAAGAAAAAATGCTCAAAAACTAGTACAGGTAAAAGTAAAGAAAGGAATCCCAATCTTTGGAAAGAAATCATAAAGGAGTAAAGCACAAAACTATAGTCTCAGGGATGCATTCTATCCATGCTAATTAAGAATAAACTTCTCTATTAAAAATAAGACTGCGTCAGAGTCAAATCAAGAAAGAGAGAACAACAATTTGGTGGGTATGTCTAAGGCTCAATTTGAAAAGAGTACAAATACAAATATATACAATACAAGTACAAATAAAATACAAGGTTTTGCACTCCAAATATTTGTATTTGTACTCCTTTCAAACTGAGCCTAAGTGACTGTCGACACCCATTAAAAAGGTATTTATATTAAGAAGATAACAAGACAAATCTGCCCTTAATACACATGATAGTGTACAAAACAATCTATTGTACAAGAAAGATATGTCTACACTCCCCCTTGGCTAACTCTCTTTATCTCTACACTCCCCCTCAGTAATGCCTAGGAATAAGCATCACTTTGTCCATGAGAAATATATGTCATGCCCGAGTCACACCTTCGTCAATAAATCAACAAGCTGGAGGCCGAAGGACACATGTGGAAAAGAAATAGTGCCATCAAGAAGGAGATGACGAATGAAGTGGCAATCCACTTTGTTATGCTTTGTATGCTCACGGAATACAGGGTTGGATGCAATTTTGATTGCACTTGCATTGCTAGAAAAGAGAGGAACAGAGGGTGACAACTCATGTAGGATGTCATGTAGGAGAGTTAGGAGCCATATAATTTCACTGCACACTGAGGACATGGCTCTGTTTTCAACTTCAGTGGAAGATTTGGATACTATGGATTGTTTTTTGCACTTCCATGAAATGAGAGAGTTTCCCAAGAAAACACACACCAACCTGTAGTGAATCGTCGAGTGTTTGGGCAGCCAACCTAATCAGCATCCACATAGGCAATGAGGCTAATGGAGGATGAGGAGGAGAAGAATATACTATAAGATAAAGTCCCCCTTACATATCCAATAGTCTGATGGACTATAGACAAATGCAGTTGTCTTGAGGATGACACAAACTGGCTCACAAGTTGGACTGCATAAGATATATCGGACTGAGTCATGGTAAGATATTACCTACCAGCTAACAATAGAGAGTAGGATCTTTAAGAGGGGAACTATCATCCTTACTAAGTCTCAGATTAATTTCCAATGGAGTATCAATAGTCTTGGAATCATGAAGGTTAGCCATTCTAACAAGATCCACTGCAAATTTATGTTGGTTGACAAAGTAACCATTATGACTTACCTCGAGCCCCAAAAAATAAATCAAGGGACCTAAGTCCTTCATCTTGAAAGATTCGTTGAGGAGCCGCTTCAAATCAACAACTCCTGCATCATTCCCTGTAATATCATCAACATAAAGAAGGAGAACTGTCACGCCATGCTCCCGATGTAAGGTAAAAAGGGAATGGTCTAAGGATCCCTGGACAAGGCCAGCATCAGTGATAACAGACAAGATGAGGATTTGTACAATATCCAAGAGAAGGCATTATGTACACTGTCTCCTTCAATTCCCCATGTAGGAATGCATTCTTCACATTCATCTAATGAACTGTCCAATGTTTTGCTACAAATATAGCCAACATGAGTCGTATTGTAGTCATTTTTGCTATAGTAGCAAAGGTCTACTCATAATCTATCTCGTACTCTTGTTTATAACCTTGAGCAACAAGCCTAGCCTTGTGCCTATCTAGGCTTCAATTAGACTTTAACTTCACAGAGTAAATCTAGTGACTCCCAATTAGAGAGGCTTCAGGTGGAGTTTTAACCAAGTCCTAGGTGTCATTCTCAAGAAAGGTTTGAATCTCATAGTCCATGGCATCTTTTTAATGTGGAATTGCTACAACCTATTAGTAAGATTTGGGAATGTCTGTGGTGGATAAAATAGCAAAAAAAGAGCTATGGTCTGGTGAGAAACCATAGCGGTTAGGTGGACAAGAAATTCTAGAAGAATGGCACAAAGTGGGTGCAGTGGATTCAGGTGGAGGATCAAATGAACTTACAAGGATAGATGGAGTAACTGGATCAACAACTGGTGGTAGAGAGGAGAGAGGCATTGAGACTGATGTAGATTGTTGCCTCCTGAAGTAAGTCTGAAGATGTTGCAAGGGCGATGTCAGTACACTTGGAGTATTTGTAGAATCAAAGCTATGCAACAAAGAGGTAGATGGAGCAAGAAATTTAAAAACATGTTCAAAGGACACATTCTCAAGAAAGAGTACATTACGAGAAATCTGAATGTGGTGGGCTGCACGATCATAGCTAAGAAATCCCCTGTGATCAGGACTGTATCCACCAAAGGCACACAAAGTTGCATGTACAGTTAGATTAGTGCATTCATGGAGCAGAAGGTGAACATAGCAGACGCAACAAAAAACTCTAAGCATAAATAGGTCTGGGGATTTGTGAAAAAAGGACTGAAAAGGAGAAGTATTGTTTAGGATAAATGATGGAAGAAGATTTATGAAATACATAGAAGTGTTGGCCGCCTCCACCCAAAGCCAAGTGGGTACATGAGAATCCTGCAAGAGGGTTTTGACTACGCTCAAAATGTGTCTATTGTTTCTTTTTGCTACCCCTTTTTGTTGTGGAGTACCAGAACATGATTTTTGGGATTGGATTTCTTGTTATTTCAAGTAGGTTTGAAAATTCCCATCAAAGTACTCTCCCCCTAAATCAGACCGTAGAACATAAATCTTGCCTTCAAATTAGGTAGCAACATAAGCCTGAAATAGTTTGAATGTAAGGTAGACTTTGGATTTCTTGCAAAGAAAGTAAATCCCAGTAAACCAAGTGCAATCATCAATAAAAGTTACAAAATACTTGTATCCCAATCTAGAAATAACTAGAGATGACTATACATCACTATGTATTAAATAAAAAGGAACTATAGCATGTTCAGGATGAGAAAGAAATGGTAAAATATGGCTCTTGCACAAACTACAAGTAATGCATGTTTTATTACCAGAAGTAGTAGAAATTGGTAAATTACCAGAAGCAAACAACTTATCATCAAGTTTCTTAGAAAAAGGGTGACCAAGGCATCTATGCTAGAAGTTCTAGCCATTAATACAATTAAATGATTCGAAACCAGAAGTAGTAGAAAGTAAACAAGAAATAGAAATAGAGTCGGCCTTCTTCTTCTCAAACTCCAATGCAAACAACCGACCCAGTCTAAGCCCCTCTTCCCCTTCACCTCCCCAATTTGTTAGCCTTGTATCAAACAACCATCAGAGGAAAACAAGACAGTGTTACCATCTTCTACAAGATGGCCAATAGAAATCAAGTTAGTGGTTAACTTGGGTACAAATAAGGTTTTGGGAAGGTGAAAAGAAAAGGACTTAGAGGTAGATAAGTGTAAATCATCACAACCAAGTATATCTAATTTTTCACCATTTGTAGTAACAATGTGTCTATTAAGAAGATGGGGTTTGGGATATTGATCAAAGGTGGCCCCCTGTCATGTGGTTAGAGGTGCCTGAGTCAATGATCCAAAGGTAATTTGATGAAGGATAGTGGGTAGGAGACTTACCAGACAGATTGATAGCAGAAAAAGGTGTAAGAGATGACCAAGGACATGAGCCGTTGAATCCTTTCTTCAGACTACCATTGGAAGTATCATTTTGTGAAGTCACTGAAACAATAAAGGAGGAGGCATCTGAACTCTCTATGGAAGTATGATAAACTTTATAAGTTCCTTTCTTCTAATTTGACCCACCACTTTTCTATGGTCAAGTGGGGCATTCTGTAATGACGTGTCTTGATTGCTTGCAATAAGTACATGTGTTCTTGTTCTTGCAGTGTGAGACAACATGCCCAAACTCCTTGCATTCATAGCATTGCACTCGGGAAAAATCCTTCTTCCCCTTAGGTTTTGTTGCAAGGAAGACAACATCTATGTTTAACTCTTTCCTTCCATTAAGAGCGGCCTGTGTAACAAGCCTGGTTTTTGTTCTCAACATTTACCTAAGGATAGTATCCAGATTAGGAATAGTCCCTCGACTAAGAATATTGGTTATGACACCTTCAAATTCAGGTCTGAGAATTATTAAGAAATGCATAATCTTCCTTCTATGAAAATTCTCTTTCATATACTCACACAACAGTCTGAAGGATCCTTTCCCATATGCACTAGCTCATACTCTATCCAGAGATTAATAAATCCTGCATAACATTCCTAAACTTTCCTCTCCTTGATGATATGAAAATATATCAACTTCTATTTGGTATTGTTTAGAAGTGTTTGATTGTTGATATACTTTCTCAAGGTATTGGTACATCTCACATGCAATTCAGTATCCCCTCATAGAAATTGTAATATCAGTTTCAACTGGTCCGAGGATCCATGATGCAATTTTTGCATTATCAATCTTTCATTGATTAAGGGCCTTAATGTCTGAATCATCCGGTTTTTCTATAGACCCATCCAAGTATCCCCAAAGTCCCTTTACCTCAACATGAAATTGAAAATTAAACTTCCACAAAGCATAGTTTGTACCATTGAACTTGACAGGAAGAACAGCCATTCTTTTACACACCATCAAAAAGGAGAATAGCAGTACAAGCTTCCAAAAAAGTAGATAGATTTCAAATCAAAGAGTAGAAAGAAATACCTTTCAGTCGATGTCCAAAAAAGGAAACTAATTCAGTTTGCCAAACCCAGAGATGGATCAAAACCCTTCTAGATCAAATCCGATCCAAACCAGACAAAAAAGGATCAATAGTACTCTGGGTGACACCAGATCTTAAGTTTCAGGCCGATTTGATGTTCCTAAGAGGAGATCTGAGGAGAAAAGCAGTTCTAGTAGTGCAACAGTTCAGAAATCTGGCCTGTACAGATCTGATCGAAACAGCCCTAGAAAAGAGATTCAACGGAACTTAAAGGTTTTCCAAATACTATTAGGGAGGCCCCAAAAGAACTGAGAAAACACAGGTACAAAAAGAGTTTTATGCAGATCAGATCGTGACCTGCTCTAATACCATGTCAGAGTCGGATCAAGAAAGAGAAAACAACAGTTTGGTGGGTGTGTATTGTTGACACCCATGAAAAAGGTATTTATATTAAGAAGATAAAAGGACAAATCTTCCCTTAATATACATAGAATAATGTACAAAACAATCTACTGTACAATAAAGAGTAAAAGTACAAAAATAGACCTCAACTAACTCTCTTTATCTCTATAGACTGGTCAGTCATATTTGTCATTTTTCTAGATAGTTATATGAAATGGAAGAGATATCCTTCATAAATGTAAAATTATAAGAAATATACTAGAAAGAATCTGAAACACTGGAAATAATACCTTAGCAGAGGAGATGTAATTACTAAATCAATCCTCTTGATAAGGCCCGATGCATGGACATGCTTATGCAAATTATCAACCTGTTATAGAGACACAAAATCTTCTTGAATCATTTTACTTTCAAAAGATTAAAAAAGAGTGATTTCAAACTACCAATGACAAAGCATAACCATCAAGCTGAAAAATGCAAGTGTTTTTTAAATGGGAAAGACTTTATGATAACATAGAATTAAGAACAAGTTATTAGAGGTGAATGGCTAGTACCTGCTGCCAACCTAGAGGGGTAAGGTGGGCATCAAAAAGTTCTGGAGATAAGTATGCTTTGGAGTTCTTTTCTCCTTCTACATTGTGAATCCCTTGCGCATGTCGCACCTGGATGTATCATTTTATAAGAACCCAGTGTATTTGGAAGTAAAAGTTATGAAGAAAGAAGACAATCTGAATATCCTTCATATTAGATTCGACATATTCAAACCTGGAAAGAAACAAAAAAGAAAAGAAAGAAGTAAGTGATACTAACCAGGTGCAGAACTTTACAGCGATACAGTGGATACAAGCTAGAACCTGCAGTGTTATCCATATCTGTGAAATAGACCTAGCAAAATTTACTAGGAAAACAAAGATAAAAATTTAGAAGGACTTAATATCGTTTTCAACAAAATAGTATATCACAATAAATACAATTGTGTTCAACTTTTCAGGAAAAAGAATTGAAAAACCAGGGTCAGCAACAGGGAACTGATAAGAAGATTCAACCATGATATAAGACTCAGTTGTACCTTATAATGGATGCTGCAGACATAAGCAATAGGCATATATTACTAAGCCATTATTTTTAAGAACAGTATTCTTTAAATTGATGTCAGAGCCGTCTCTGTGGTAGACCTAATTCAGTTCAAGAGATGGGGCAAGAATCACCTAGATGAGTTGATCATATAAATGGGGAAAATTATTACTTTCGGGCTTTCAGCGGTTCCAGAGTTATTATTGTACTAAAATCTATTGATGCATGCAGTACCATCATCATGACCTAATCCCACCTAAATGAGATTAGCAGCATTGTTGTTCTCCCAATTCCACCCTATTTGTTACAGTATCTTCCATTAAGTATTGAAATATGAATTCTTCCCCAACCCAATATCTTTTTGGCCTCTGCCTTGTCACTTTAGATCCTTCAGCTTTTATTAGATAATCATTCTCAATGATGCATTTAGGTTGGCTTGGCATCTCATTATCTCATTGCATGGAATGTTAGGGGATTGGGGTCGGGGAGAAGAAGGTTGGTTGTCTGTGATTCTCTGAAAACTTCAGGTTCAAAGGTGGTTCTGATTCAAGAATCTAAATTGGAAAGTGTGGAGGCAGCAGTGATTAGGAGTATCTGGGGGGAGGGGGAGGTTAGGTGGAAGTCAAAGTCAGCTGTTGGAAGTGCAGGGGGTTACTGAGCATGTGGGACCCAACAGTGTGTAATCCGGTTTCATCTCAGATTGGGAATTTTTCAATTTCCCTTGTTTTGAAGTTTGCTGATGATAATGTTTTTCAAATAACTAATGTGTATGGCCCTAATAATCAAAGTCGGAGGGAGGAGTTTTGGGAGGAACTGGCTGTCCGTGGATTATCGGCAGGGATTTTAATGTCATATTGTCGGTGGATGAGAGAAGTTTGGGTGGGAGAAGATCGAGAGATATGGTGCAATTTGCTGAATTTATCAACGGATTTGAACTCCAAGACCTTCCTCTCCATGGCAACAGGTTTACTTGGACCAGCAATCAAGATTCTCCTACTCTTGTGAGGCTGGACAGGTTTCTGGTTACATCTAATTGGGAAGAGGTCTTTCCGGAGATTAAGCAGATTGTTCTTCCTAGGCCAGTGTTGGATCACAGTCCAATTCAGCTGGTTTGTGGTGCTAGAATGAGAGCCAAAGTTCCTTTTAAAATAGAGAATGCTTGGTTTGAGGATGCTAATCTTGTTCCTTTGTTGAAGTCAGTTTGGGAGGAGTTGCAAGTAGAGGGTACTAATTCTTTCATATTGGCAAAGAAACTGGGGGCCATCAAGGCAAGGTTAAAGATTTGGAAGTTGGAAAAGAATTTGAATTCAGATACAGAGAAGAAGGCTCTCCTGAGTCTCATAAAGGAGATAGATACAGCTGAAGAGCTTGGTCCCATTGTTGAGGAGCTCAGATTAAAAAAAGACAGAAGGCCAAGTTGAAGTTTGATAAATTGGCAGTGGTGGAAGAAATTAAATGGAGGCAAAGAGCTAAAGTTGCTTGGCTGAAAGAGGGGGATAGGAACACACATTTTTTTCACACAATGGCAAATGCTAGAGCTAGAGCTTTTGTAATTACTAGACTAGAGGGGGAGGGCAGGGTAGGTATCACTGAGTCTGACATGAAGGTTGTGGCATCAGATTTTTATAAGAAGCTGTATAAGGAGTATTGGCCTTTTAGACCTTTCCCTAAATCCCTTCCTTTTAACCAGTTGAGTGAGGAGCAATCTTCCCTTATTGAGGGTCCTTTCTCTAAGGAGGAAATCAAAGGAGCAATCAAGTTGTTGGCCGATAAGAAGTCTCCTGGCCCCGGTGGCCTTACTAATCTCTTTTACATTAAATGCTGGGATGTAGTGAGACAAGACATTATGAATGTTTTCCACGATTTTTTTGAGAGGGGTTCTTTGCAGAGAAGCCTGAACTCTACTTTCATTACCCTTATTCCAAAGATTGAAGGTGCAATCAATATAAGGGATTTCAGGCCAATTAGCCTTCTGCATAGTTTTTATAAAATCCTAGCTAAAGTGCTTGTTGAAAGATTACAAGGAGTACTTGGTAGTGTCATCTCAAACAACCAAGGTGCTTTCATTCCGGGCAAGCAGATGTTGGATTCGGTGCTTATTGCCAATGAGCTCATTCACTCAAGGAAGAAAGAAGGTTCCCCAGGTTTGATTTGTAAACTTGATATCGAGAAGGCCTATGACCATGTTAACTGGAGATGTGTGGACCTTGTGCTGCATCAGATGAATTTTGGGTAGAAATGGAGAAATTGGATTAAAGTTTGTATCACTTCTCCAAAGTTCTCAGTTCTAGTAAACGGGCAAATTGCAGGTTTCTTTGACAGTTCCAGGGGCCACAGGCAGGGAGACCCCTTGTCTCCTCTTCTTTTTATATGTGTAATGGAGATCTTGACTCTGTTATGCAAGAAGGTTGCAAGTTCAGGAGAGTGGGATGGTTTTGCTATTGTGCCGGGTGGAACTTGCAGATGATACTCTATGTTTTGTGGATGCCTTGCCCTCTCAAGTGGAACTTGTCCTTGGAATTCTATCTTGGTTTGAAGTGATTACAGGACTAAAAGTAAATTGGAATAAGAGTCAAATCATCCCAGTTGGCCAAGTCTCTAATTTAGCTGAATGTTAAGATATTTTGGCTTGTCAGATTGGATCACTCCCAGTTAAATATCTGGGCCTCCCGTTAGGGGTGAATGGCGGTTCCTCTGTAATTTGGGAGCCAGTTATTAAGAGATTGGAAAGGAAGCTGGCTTCTTGGAAGGCAAAATATCTTTCTTTCGGGGGGAGGGTGACTCTAATTAAGAGTATTCTCTCCAATTTGCCTACCTACTTCTTGTCTCTGTTTTATATTCCTAAGAAGGTTGCAAATCAGATCGAAGAACTTCGAAGGGACTTCCTTTGGAGAGGCTGGGAGGAGAAGAAAATGCATTTGGTGAGTTGGGAGAAAGTTTGCCTCCCCAAGTCAGATGGGGGATTAGGTATAAGGAAGCTGAAAAATTTTAACTCTACCCTGCTCGGTAAATGGATATGGAGATTTGCTATAGAGCCTGATGCATGGTGGAGATCTCTCATTGCTAGTAAGTATGGTGTGAGTTGGGGAAATTGGAGAACTAGGGATCCTCCTCCCAACTGGGGTAAATCCCTTTGGAAAGGGATTATGAAGACCTATTCAGATTTGGCTAGGGGAGTCTCAATAAGGGTGGGGAATGGTAATAGAACCAAATTCTGGAAAGACCCGTGGTGCTCTAATGTTCCTCTTGCTGAGTCCTTCCCGCTCTTATATCAGTGTGCTTTAGATCAAGAGGCTTCAGTTGCTGAGTGTTATAGCATTTTGAGTGGTTCAGTTCTTTGGACTCCCTCTTTTCAAAGGAATCTTTTTGATTGGGAGGTGGAAGAGGCAGTGAATCTCTTGTCAAGTCTTCAAAATCAAGCTTTGGATTATAATTTGGAGACAAGTGGTTTTGGAGGTGGAATTCAGATGGTATACTCTCTGTTAAATCCCTAGCTGCTTTGATTGGAAGGAGGGGTGGGTCTGATTTCCCAGCTCGGCAAATATGGAATCCAAACAGCCCGACAAAAGCATGCTTCCTAGTATGGACCATGGCTCTAAATAAGTGCCTTTCTAAGGAAAACCTGGTGAGAAGAGGCATTCAGGTCCCAGACTTGTCTTGTAGCTTATGTGGTTGCAGTATTGAATCCACTGATCATTTGTGTATCCACTGCCCGTTTTCTGCTCATTTATGGAATCATCTCTTCAACTTTGTGAAGGTTAACTGGGTGATGCCGAGGTCAGTTAAAGAGTTGTTAAACTGCTGGCAGATTAAGGGTTTGAGCAAGAAAAGGAAGGTTCTTTGCAAGCTGATTCCATTTGTGGTAGTAGTCGATCAAGACTACAATCAGTCTTGAATCCGAAAGTAAAAGAAAAGATTTCAAAAGGAGAAAAGAAGAAGAAAAGAGGGAGAAAGCAGAAGCACACGAAGGGTTCTAGAAAAAGGAGAGAGAGGGTTAAATTATTCAGATCTGCCGACCCGCTCTTAATATTTATATGTTTACTGATTGTAAAAAGGCTGAATTGCCCTTATTGCTTACATGGCAAATAAACTAATAATAAAGCTGAAATAACAAGCTGTAACAACAAAAACTGAAATAACTACCAACTAACACTAACATAACTAACAAAGAATACATATTGTGCTGCCATACGAACATAGTGGGGACCATAGCCGTGGGGTCCACATCAATGTTCTCTACACTCCCCCTCAAGTTGGGAATAGATATTTTCATTTCCAACTTGCATAGGTTTGCCTCTAACTTCTTCCTTGGAATAGCCTTGGTGAGAAGATCTGCGAGCTGCATGCTGGAGGTGATATACGGGAGACACACTTCTTGAGATGAAACCCTTTCTCTGACAAAATGTCAATCAACTTCGATATGCTTAGTTCTGTCATGCTGTACCGGATTGTGAGCTATATTAATAGTAGCCTGATTATCACAATACAGCATTAAGGGCTTCTCATAATTAATACCCAACTCTTCAAGTAATGACTTCAGCCATAGGATTTCAGCCACACCATTAGCCATTGATCTATATTCAGCTTCAGCACTAGAACGAGAAACAACACTTTGTTTCTTACTCCTCCAAGAGACAAGGTTACCTCCTACAAAGGCAATATATCCAAAGGTAGGCCTCCTGTCTGTTAGACAGTTTTGTATGCCCTTAGCTTCAATCAGAATGATGTACTTTATGAGTTTATTGTAAATGAATAAAGATACATATTTGATTCA